AAAAATGTTTATATTCGTTTCAGCTTTCTGACCTCACTTTTCGTGCTACGTCATTCAATTTGGTATCAAACTGTTCGGAAAAGAATGTTCTAAAGGAATATTTGCATATAAGAACATATAAGTCTCACTTTTCTATACTTTAGACCCGCCGCTCACTGCAAGGTAGTCCGTGCGTTGCCCCGTGAGCTCACTACCACATTCAAATGTTTATACTCTCATCAGCTTTCTGACCTCAATTTTTGTGCTACGTTGTTTAATTTGTTATCAAATTGTTTGCAATAGAATGTTCTAAAGGAATATTTGCATATAAGAACAAATATTACAACAATGTTACCAATACATACCATAAGATAAAGTACAGCGTCATGTGAAAAACACCTGGTTTTCTTCATTGTTTACAGTCGTTATTCATTCCTGATGTTGATTATGATTTGTTCACCATATCATTCATTTTTATGTTGCTTCCTTCATAAGTGTTTGTACCACAATATGTATAAAAAAATTAATAAAAATGTCTGTGCTTACCACTCAATGATGTTTGTTGAGCATGAGTTGAACATTAGGTAGAACTCCTCCACCTGCTCCAGAAAAAGACTTCCTGAAGCTGCTCAATAGATGTTTTATAGGTGGAGGGGATGGTGGGTAAGCATTACCGTTTAACCACCGTGAAGATTCTCTTGCGATGGTATAAGCTGTAGCATGGTGCAGCACATAGTTGCACACCACACAACTTGCACTTAGACCTGGTGTCCTTCCTTTTACCAGACTTGTAGCAGACATGACACATCAGACCTTTCTCGATGCGTATTAGTTCATGGTTCAAGTTCCTGTTCAGACGTTCAGGTTTATCAACAATACGAGGTCTTCTCCTAGCAGAAGCACCACTAAGAGTATTCTGAAGCTCATCTTCGGAGTCAGATGATGGATGTTCATTTCTAGGTGAAGAAGGGAAGAGTGGCTGCCTCACACCTGATGTTCCGGGTGTTGCAACAGTGTCACCAGTAGCACTGCTATCATCCTCATGTACATAACCAGCATGTATGATGTCATCGTTGAGAGGCCACGCCTTATACTGAAACTTCACTAGTGACATTATGATTACTTCATGGAACTGGAGGAATGTGAGTTTCTGGTATCTGTTGTGTAGTAATTGTATAACACAAGCATTATGGACAGCCATTTGCAGAAAGTAGAAAGTTATTTTCTTCGTTCACTTGTGACATTTCTGCGTGAACTGATATTTTATCATTTGGTCGAATACGAACACCTTTCATGTTGGTATTATAGTCACAGACTGCGTTTGGTTTGTTCACAGTGACATGTTGCACTGAAGATGTTCCATCACGGTTGCGTACTCTCTTCCTTCCTTCCACCTGTTGTGTATCTGCATTGTGACAAGTTGTGATGAGTGCAACAACTCTCTTATCTTATACAGGTATTCTTTCCACAGAATTATAAAAATACCTGTATTGTCCTTACATCAGAATACTATTTGATCTACATAGAGTTCCCCTTTGCCTCTAGCTGAAGATCTTTAGGTGCACCATGCTGTCTCAGGGGCCTGACAGCTGAGTTGACATCATTTGGGATTCATAATTCTAGTCTGGGGATTGATACCTGGCAAAGGCAGAAACAAATGGGCAGCGTTTCTTTCACCCTGATGCGCCAGTTCACCTAATGGTAAATATGTAAATAGTTGATTGATAGACATTTGAGAGGTGGGCCGAAAGAGCCAAAGCTCAACCCCCGCAAGCACAACTAGGTGAATACAGGTGTATACACTTTGTTCAAGCAGCTTTTCATTAAGTTGAACAGAGTTATAGTAGTTATTCATATATATATGGTAACCTTGTCCCACAGTGCTTCAATCAAGTCCCTAACCATTTCAATTGTTGTCTTGCTAATTCCTGCATACACTTCAAAATCATAGATGTAACCAGTCTTCGATTCAGCCAGCATGTACAGCTTTACTCCATACTTGTTAGGTTTATTTGGATTATAAACCTTGAATGCTAGACGGCCCCTCCATGACACTGTTCCTTCATCCAGACTCAGATTTTTCTCAGGAATGTATAATGTTTTGCATTTATGTTTTAGATATTCCATTACTGTTCTAACTTTTATTAGTCTGTCTGTATTGTCTTTGGGAATAGCATTATTGTTATGAGTATGAAAATACGATATTTTATCATTTCGTCTATCGAAATGTTGATAGTGTAATACTATCGAGTATTTTATCATTTCATTTAATCGATATTTATCATTTTGAAGTCATAATATTATTGAAAGTAGGTACATTCCACAATTTACCTGTTTGCTAGTACTGTACATACTGATCTGGCAGCCTCATAATTCCCATCAACATTGTGAGTCCCAAATATCTGGTAAAATTTTTCACATTCACATCAGCCCACTCATTCTTCTTGTTGGCAGATGCATTGGACATGCTTTGTGATGTATACAAGTTTGTTTCATATGCTGAATAGTTCAGTAACTCCTACATAATAACTAAAAATCCCAGAGTAGTAGTTGTTATGGGGACAGTCAAGCCTGGTGTTCCAGTAAACCTCTGTACAAATTGTGCAGTGTTGTCAGTAGACCATGGTTCAGCAGAACTGTTGAGTGGGGTACGTGGGGACCCATGTGTTCTACTCTTAAATGAAGGGCCTGCATGTGGGGGCTGTACCATCATCATCATCATCACCACCACCACTCACCTCACTTTCAAACTCATCCTTAGGGGCTGTTTCTGTTTCAACCAACTCATTATCTACATCACTATCACTTTCTGCACTGTCAAGATCACTGCCTGAAAATTTGTTGGTGTGAGTATAACTTTTCTACACTTTTGACGAACACTCGATAACTTTTCTCTCCTGCGAATTTCTTTCACTGCTTTCCTATTGGATTTTTTTCCTCTTTCCTTTTCTTTCTTTCCTCTTCCTATCCATCTTAAAGTCAATTGGCAGTGTTTATAATGCCGGTAAAAACAAATAGCTGAGATAAAACAACCAGAAAGGGGAAATTTTTTGACTTGAGGGGAGGCTGCAGCTGTCACAAGCAGGGTCAAGAGAACAATGGGCCTCCAGTATGGGTGTCCGCCCACGCCGCGAGGTGGGATGCCATGTGGGATATACAGAGCATGGGAAGATGGTGGCGCGTATTTTAAAACAAGTCGCATGGTATTCGGACAATAAATGGAATTTTTACAAATGTTTAAATTATTGACACAGTTTGCGCCATCCCGCATACTCTGTATTTTGGTTTTATGACGGAATACGCGGCATTAGACAGCGAAAGTGTTAAGATCCTCAATACTATCTTTTCTCTTTTCAACACTACTCTTCATTTTACTCAGAATTATTTGATCTGTTTTCCTTTGTTTTATGTTGATGCCCTACTCCTCTGCAAGCCACCTGCCTCTAAGGCTACAGTCATAATTTTTTAATAAAACTTGGTCTTTTTACCCATGGTAATGCAGTTACTCTTACCCTTGCCTGATAAAACAAATACTATACTACATTTTCTGGATGACATGGCTTTAACACACAAATAATCATCAAATAATCATGTATCAGATGAAACAGCAGTGAAAATGTTTGAGTAATGAATGCCCAGACTCCACTTACACACAAAAAAATGTGTACTGTATCCTCACAGAGGGTGTGGATGCCTTGGGAAAAAGTCACAAACTTGTTAGTACAGTACAAGCTTTATTACTTAACAAAATACTGTATTAAAAATAAATACGATTGGTAGAAATTACCTTGTGTTTAACTGGTAACCCATAATTTCACTTGTTATTCTCCTCTGGAATCCAGGCCTTTTTAGGCAATGGAAAAATCAGGTTGCTGGATTTTATTTGTTAGAGAAAATATTATATAGAGGTTAACATTTTTAGGGTACACTGCACATAAAAATTTAAATCTTACATATCAAATTCATACCAAAAAGCCATATTCTAATATCAGGATAACTCCAAGGTCTGATGTCAGTTTAACTATTAAATTGGTCCTCATTTAACTAACATTGAAACTGTCATTTTGTGCACAAAAGAGGGGCATTTATATGGCCGATGACATTGTTTGATAAAAGAATAGCAGTAATGGGATGCAGAGTTCTAAAAGCTAGAAGTTTATGATACATCATATCCAAATACTGTACTGTATAAAAAACCCAGCATCGAATGTAATGAAACGCCATTTTCTGGGCGAGTCCCTGAGGCTCCCTGGAGCTTACTGGTCTGATATGCATTTATTAGACTGTGGCAACAGTCCTTCGAATGAAGTTCTAATGCCTACCAGGGACCACAAGCCAATGCCTACCGGGGACCACAAGCCAGAAACTGGTCCCCCCTCAGAGAGGCATGAGGAGCAATGAGTAATAGAAACCCCCGTGGTTGGAAGCATTCTATGTCTGCCATCGACCGGGCTAGGCACCCAGAAAGGTAGGTGTCCCAAAACAGACCTCAACTGGTGAAACATTGCTACCAAAAGCCAAACTGGTAAGCAGAACTCCCCAATTTGAAAACAAGCAAATAAGCATGACGTCACACCTGCCTCCTCGCCGACTGCCTGGGCAGCTTCCCCCTCCCTGGGTGGGGGAAGAGGGGGCTCCAGACCCCTGCACCGGCTATCTAACTTCAGTTCCTAAGGCTGGATGTCAAAAACGCAAAACCACCAACCGAAGGGAGGGTTGCTGGGGAGCCTCTGGGACTCGCCCAGAAAATGGCGTTCCATTACATTCAACGCTGGTTTTCTGTGGAGATCCCCTCTGACTCCCTAGAGCTACCAAACCACAGAAAAGTAACTACCAAACCACGGAAGGCGGCTACCACTGGCATCTCAACTCAAAGTTGAGACAACTGGCTGCAACCTGTGACCCAAAGCGACACACGCCTGACTAGGGCCAGGAACATTAATGAGGTAACATGATGCACCCCCGGCCAAACCAACTAAGCATCAACCACCCAAGGACTCCCTCTGGAAAGCCGCCGTCTCATTCTTCAGCAGAAAAGGAGGAGACAGCTGCAAACAAACAAACCTACCACCATGACCGAAAGAGCAGAAACCCTTCAGCCGGAGGAGAGCATGAAGCTCCTAAACCCCAGTGGCTCCAGAGGCCACTGCCAACAAGAAAAGAGAAAACAACGATGAAAACATTGAAACTAAACAATCCCGAACACCTTATGAAAACAATCCCAAACCGAAGGAGCCACCACAAACCAAGAAGAGAGAAAAGAGCACCCGGTGCAACGACCAGAACAGCTCAGGTGGTGCACAAGCAGGCTGGAGGTGAAACAACACACGAGACAGCTTTTGAAATGGAGCGAAAGTAACATCCACCCCGAATGCAAGCAGGAGCGGCTCCACCAGCGCCCCATGATACGAGGCAACAGTATTTGGCATAAGATAACGGTCCTTTAATAACCAAGAGAGAAAAGACAAAACAACACGATCTGAAACCGAAGACAACCCATGAAGAGACAAAATGTGACAAAAGGACCACCGAGACGAAACACGCAGGTGGACACCATTAATGAAGCAACTTGATTACCATACAAGTGGTGATAAACCCGCATCAAAAAGACCAGACGTACAGATCGAACCAACCATATACTAATACCAGACCAAACCGATCTGCTGAAAGAAGCAGAGCAGAAAAGACTTTCCTTCAGAAAAGACTTTTCTGCAGAAAAGTCCTCGAGTTTGGACGCTGAGCAAGCAGTGTCAGAAACCAAGACTGGGCCAGCCACCAAGGGGCCAACAGGACAACTCCCCCCAGGTAAGTCTCCAACCAAGCCAGAACCCGAAGCAACAGATGAACCGGCGGGAAGAGGTACAGGTAACTCCACCTTGACCAGTCCTGCCGAAAAGCATTGACCCCGACGGCCTCGCATTCAGGGAAGGGCGCCACATATACTGGGAGATGCCTCGACCACACCGACGCGAAGAGGTCCACTTCTGGGTGCCCACACATCCGGCATAGCCAACGTTATGGCAGTGAACCCCGAAAAACTCAAAGAGGAAGCCGACGACGCAGCACCCGATGTAAGGCCCCCGGAGGCCGAATAATTACACCCAGGGCAGCCTCGCGGCATCTGGAAAAGCAACTAACCTAGCGGCCGGTTCTGTTCCGGAAGGAACAGAACCGGCCGTTGTGTGTAATGGAGATAAACTGCACAGTACCTTGCAGCGACGATACTACCTCTTACCCAGGGTCAAACAGCGGGTATAAAAACCCCAGCTGACCCCAAGGGTGGGCAATCACTGAGCAGCAAGAGATCCCTATGTAAGTAGTTCCCAAATGACTTATGGAAGATAACCCTAAACTGCAAGGGCAGTACTTACAGGGGCACCTAGGGAAGGGAGCCCTAGGTGCATGCAGCCCCAGTACTTCATGAATTACTCCTGGCTCGCACACCACAACACAGCAGAACAACACCGCAAGAGCACAGCTCTGCACAGAATCTGGAGCCAGAGTTGAATGACCGCCACCAAGCACAACAGCCTCAAAACTGAGGTTGGATAGCCGGTGCAGGGGTCTGGAGTCACTCCTACCATCCCACGATACTAGTTACAAATGGGGTGTTAATAATTACTTATGAATGACAAGACTGAAGATAAAAACCCAGCACTAAATGTAATGAAACATATCTTTCTGGTAGAGCCCTGGTGGCTCCCTAAAGCTATCTCACTGTGATGGCTCCTCACTTCTGGGTCGCATCAGTCGCAAGAATACTGCTTGGACTACTGGGGACCAGAGCCAGAACCTGGCCACCTAACATAGGTGCAAGGATCAGATGGCGTATTACAGTATTGTGGTCATCATCCTCACCAGGAAAGCATCCAGAAAACTTTACAGACAAATGCAAAGTTCATGAAAAACAAAGCTTCAAAATAGTCAAATGACTTCACAAGTGAATCAAATCTAAATAATTAGTTAATTTTAAACTAGCTTGATCTTGTTAGTACTGATGGCTGCTACCAGCTGGCCAACAGCTGTCTCCAAGGTCACTCCATGACTGATGGAAAAAAGAAACAACGAACCTGCTAGAGAGGGAGTTGGGGAGCCACCAGAGCTGTAACAGAAAGGCATTTCATTACATTCAATCCTGGTTTTCTGGGAAGAGCACCATTGTGGTTTCCTGCAACTAACCAGAGAAACAGGAAAATAAGGGGATTAACAGGTTAGGAAGGAGAGATGGCAGGTACTAGGCCAGAGAAGAAACTGAGGGCCAGAAACACAGTCCAGTGCCACACAAGACTGATTGGGACTAGGAACAGAAACAAAGACTGGGCTGCAAAGGCCATGTAAGACCTTCAAAACCTCCAACCCTGAGTGTAAGTCCACAACATGTTGGAGAAAACAGCAGCAAAGGCTGCATGCTTACAAACATCATTGGCCAGAGGGGAGACTCCAGGCTGTCTAGCTTTGAAGAAACTGGACAACCCGAGAAATACAGGCCTTGGAACGGGATCAAGAAAACAGGTCAACTAACAACGTATCCACCAAGAACTGGTGCCACCAGACAACTAAGGATGCACCCCTGGCCAAACCAACCCAGCATTAATCACCAAAGGACCATTCTGGATGCCAGTTGATTCATTCCTCTCCAGAAAAATCGGAGAAAGCTGCAGATGAACAAACTGCCCACCAAGCCAAAGGTACAGAAACCCCAACTCTGGAGAAGAGTACAGTATGAAGTTGCCCAACTCTGTAGTTGGAGGTAAACATGGACAAAAACATCGTTTTGAGAAAAACATCCCTGATTTTCCTGACTGAAGGGGGCAAGCATGAAATGAGCAAAGGCATGAAAGACTAGCACCTCGTCAACAGACCAAGGTGGCTCAGGAGGAGCATAAGCCAGCTGGAGGTCAAAGAATACCCTAGACAACTTGCAACAGCAGCTCCCCCAACACTGAATGAGAAGAGACAACAATAGTAAGTATAAGATGACAATCCAAAAAACATCCAGGCCAAAAAAGACATGACCACCAGGTCACCAAAGAAAGATGGCAAAAATAAAAGAGGTGAAGCAAGCAGCTTCATACTGCCATTGTGGAGAGAGAGCTAGTTGGGACACCAATAACCCAGCCATCTGCATGCTATACAAATGACAATAGATCTGCAACAGAACTCTAGATGCATAGAACAGAGAAGGTTGAACCAGCAAAGTACATCATCAAACCAATTTTCTGATAGTGGTGGTCCTGCAGTAAAATGCCCAGGTTTGTACACTAGACCAAAAGAGCCAGAAACCAAGGATGAAGAATCACCTAGCCCAAGTATGACTTCAGTTTGAACAGCACCCAGAGCAACAACTGAACTAGAAAAAAAGGTGAATGAACCCCCCACCTCAACCAGTCCAGCCAAAGGCACCCACTGGAAAACCTCACAATCAAGGAATTGATCCATGTAGGAGGGAAGACACTGGTTCCATACTGATGTGAAGAAGCTCACCTCAGAATTATTGAATGTTTTGCAAAAACAATAGAAGGATGCATCATCAAGAGTCCACTCTGTAGAAATGGAGCAAGATAACTTGTCTGCGCGAACATTGGACATACCCCACATGCGAGCCACTTGGAGAACCAAACCCTGAGAAAGAAGAAAGTGAGCTACATGAATAATCCAGCTCCAAAGGGAGTAGGGTTGAAGTGATCCCCGTGGTTCAGGGAGTGAACCACTGGGAGTACTTAGGATGAAGCCGAAGAATGGAGCACAAAGGAAGCAGAATCTTCCACAAGGCCTACTACAAAGCCGCAAATTCACACACCGTGTTCTGTACACCTGATGGAATAACCTTAACCACTGATTCTGGGAGGCCTGGCGATCTATAGGAATTAATTACATCAGCTGGGGACTATGGTCCAGGGACTCTGGCCGCCTGGTGGCGACCATCGGTTCAAGCTAATTTTGAATAAACCAATTGTTATGACCGAATAATTTGTGGAGTCGTTTGGATATTAATGTTTCATTTCATATGAACCTTGCAGTTGTTTATAAGGCTTTGTTGACTTTCTGGATGCTTTCCTAGTGAGGGTGATGTTAACAGTCCTGTGCCTCCTGTGCCTTTGTGAGGGAAGAGGGCCAGGTTCTCGCTCTATTCTCTGTAGGTCAAACAGGACTCCTGGAACTGATGTCATCCAGCAGTGAAAAGCCACCATTGGGCTCCTCCCATAAAAAGCCTCAAAACATCTACAAGTTTCTGAGATTCTATTACTTTGATAATGCTGTTGCTGAACCACCATTTTGTCTTACAAATTTGCATTTTTTGTTATAATGAGACCAGTTTCTTGTGTGAATATTTTCCGAGAAAGCAGCGAGTAAACAATCTATAATACCATACAAGCAATATGTATTAAAACAAAGGTTGGCATTGTTTAGTTTAATTGTTGCATTTTCTGAGAAATCCAACACTAGCATGGCACATTTGTTGATTATTATATACACAAATTGTATAGATATATATTTCATACATTATATACATAATTATTATATCTATAGATTTCTTGCATTATACTTATAAAATAAAGATCTTTTTGAAGTTCCTAAAGTGACAGGAAAAGTTTTGATATATATGTTTCAAATATAAGTTGGGTGAAGGAGACTACAAGACATAAATGCACATCATCTTTGTGGAATATTATGTACCATCCTTAAAAATTAAAGGTTCTTTACCCATTTTTTGCTACACAAAACAATAACAAATTTGTGCTCACATTTTCCTATCATTTACTCTGCAGATATAAGCTTCTCTTCGGAGGTATTGTGCGGGTTGCTGCACTCTACAGCTTCCATGGCTGCCTCTGCAAGAATAAACACAGTAGATGAAATAAGAATTAGCTGTATTGCAAAGTACTGAGATACAGTGGCACCTCGACTTACGATTGCCCCGACTTACCATAATTTCGAGTTACGATGTAAATTTGATAGAAAAATGTGACTCGACATATGATGGTGTCATCGACTAATGATATTTGTTGGTACACGTTCGGGTCGACCGAGCGTGTGGTTCCCGGTCACGCAGGCAGACCTGCCTCAGTTTACTACAGCTGCCCACTTAGTGACGATCATGCCTATAAGAAATTAAGTTTTTGTGGTGATTTTTTGCTTTTTGAACATAAAAGTAATTATTATATATCACGCCATGGGTCCAAAGAAAGTCAGTGGTAAGGTTCAACATATGAAAACCCATGTAAGGATGACCACAGAGCAAAAACAAGAGATCATTCGTAAATATGAAGATGGTGTGCAGGTTGTTGAACTAGCTAGGCAGTACAACAAATTTCAGTCAACGATAACCACCATACTGGCTAAGAAAAATTACATTATGAGTGCTAAAGTGGCAAAAGATAAATGCCAGATAAAGCTGTAGTAGGCCGTTGCATTGATCTTTTTAATGACAATGTGATGCCTCACTACAGACAAGTGTTGCAAAGAAGGGAAAAACAATCTTCAATGGAATGTTTCCTTGTGAGAAAGGGAGAAAATCAAGCAGAAAGCCACAACCAGGACCTAGTGGTAAGCAGGCAAAACGAAGGAGAGTGTACCCCAGAGAAAACATCACTGCCTGATGTGATAATGGAAGGGGACTCCCCTTCCAAACAGTAACACCTCTCCTCCTCCCCCCATCATCACCATCTTCCATACGCCATCAAGGGTCCTCCATAAAGGTAAGATAAACATCTGTACTGTATTGTAGTTAGAAAAAACAATTATATTCAGTATAAAATGTATTTGTAAGTTAATATTTTGGAGGGTGGGGAAGGGATTAATTCAATTCCCTTTATTTCTTCTGGGAAAAATCGCTTCGACTTACGATATTTCGACTTACGTTCCGTCTCTGGGAACGGATTACCATCATAAGTTGAGGCCCCACTGTACTTGATTGTATGGCCTGTCTTTTGACTAACTCAAAGAACAGCACTGTATATATACTCATCTCGATTGCAAATGACATTCTATGAGGTTATGCAATACAATATGTGTATTTTTTTATTTTTAGCTAAAGGTTAAAATATTTAATTTATATATATGGTACAAACAACAGTACTGCACCATCATTCCAAGCCTGTTTCAAATTTTGGGAAATTTATACCTTTTAGTAAGTATACTTTTTTTTGTCTTGTTTATCACTTGTTCCTGGTGTCATGCACATCTGTGGTATAAGAATCTAGTACATTAGGGAGTTACCGAGGGGACTGGCCCAGAAAGAACCCAGCGTTGACTGTAATGAAACTCCATTTTCTGGGCGAGACCTGGAAGCTCCCCTGAGCGATCCAGGCTGATATGGATACTATTAGACTTTGGCATCAGTGTGAATGGAGTTGTTTAGGCCTACCGGGGACCATGAGCCAGAACATGGCCCCCTCATAAAGGCACGAGGAGCAATGGCCTACAGAATTGCACATGTGATTGCACATGTGATGGGAGGGAACCTGCACGTGCGGATGCACCACGCCAACATCTCGCTGAAGGGCAGGGGCGAGCAAACACGCATTGAGGTGCTCAAATTGTCCCCCCCCCCCTCCCCCGGTAAACCTGGACCACCGTCAGCGCCTCGCGCCACTCAAGTGTGCAGGTATGACAGAAAGTATGCCAAGCATCCAACGAAAACACAGGGCAGTCCACAGGCCAGGACGACTCCGGAACCTCATAACGAACCCAGTAGGGAGACGATGACCCAAACCTGAAAGAAGATGGATTCATAATAGAGGCGTAATCTGGGTCGTGCAGGAGGTAAGCAGCGATGGCTTTGTGTACCTCAGAAGGCAGAATGCGGGAAACCAAAAATCTCCGGAAGGACGGAACTGACAGACCCGAAGGGACACGGAACCGAACCCAGGGAGGGGCTGACCCCATATCTAACCCATGCGCAGAGGGGGGAAAAGAAAGCCCCAGGCGGACTCTGCCGGGGTCCAAGGCCCCCCAAGTCAACCCTTCACCCGCCCCGGGGACCTCCACTCCAGGACCTGGGGCCGAATTGTCTTCCAAAGCCCTAGCCTCAAAAGAAAAAGCAGAGGCAACCGAAAAGTCAGGAAGAGAGGGAGCCCACTGGTCAGACCCCAAAGCAACAGCTGAAGGAACCGACTCGAATGCCTCCGTCGTCACCTCTGAAGGGGCATCTCCCAAGACTGCCCAAGTTCAAAACCAGCTAAACCCTTTCCCGACCTCGAAAACAAAAACAAAAGAAAAACCCCGCAAGAGGACAGCGTACCCAAGTGGAACAAAGCTGGCTGCTGTAGTAGGTGAAAACAAGCTGTGCAGTACCCTGTGCCCCTACCAATGCAAACTACCTCTTACCCCAAAGGAAATAAGGGAGGAAAAAACTCCCCAGCACGCTCAGGGCAGTTCATCAATGAGTGGCAAAAGACCCAGCAGAGGTAGACCCAAGGTGACTTGTGGAAGATGGCCCCAAGCCCCAAGGGTGGTTCTTACAGGGCACTTAGGGAAGGGAACCCTAAGCGCATGTAGCCCGAGTACCTGTGAAGATTACTTCCAACTCGCGCACTACCTCTGAAGACAATACTAGACACAAGGCACAGCACTGAGACAAGAATCAGGAGCTGGAGTCACACGACCAATGCCTTGCAACATCAGCCGAGAACTGAAGATGTAGGTAGCCGGCGTGAGGGGTCTGGTGCTCCCCCTTCCCCCTTCCCGGGAAGGGGGTGAGCTGCACAGATGGCAGCGTGGCACATGGTGATGTCATGCTCATTTGCTTGTTTTTCTTTGGGGGAGTTCTGTCCACTTGTTCGACTTTCAGTAGTAGTTTCAACCAGAAGAGGGGTTTGTTTTGGGATGCTTACCTTTCTGGGTGCCTGATCTGGTCGATGGCAGACATAGAATGCTCCAAATCACATAAGCAATTCTATAGGCTATTGCTCCTTGTGCCTCTCTGTGGGGTCCAGGTTCTGGCTCGTTGTCCCCAGTAGGCCTAAAGAACTCCATTCACACTAACTGATGCCAAAGTCAAATAATATCCATATCAACCTGGATTGGATAGCTCCAGGGAGTCAAAGGGACTCCTCCCCCAGAAATGGTTCTTACTTTCATTGGGGGAAAGGGAGGCCACCTAACAACAAAATTTTGTATAAAATCTGATTCCTTGACCCTAAACACACATGAAATGATATTTCATTCAAGAAGTCAATTTCTTTGTCCTTTAGCAGCAAATGCTAAATGAAACCCAAGGAGGCTGTGAATACTTTTTGATAACGTTGCCCATTGTGGGATTTTTTGGGGGAACTTCTTGGATGAAAGTTAGCTAGATGTCATCTACATACTCCCCAAAGTTTCAGCTTATCTTTCTAATTGCCAAATTTCCATTGAAAATTAGGTAACTGTACTTTACTACGGGAGGTCTTTACCAGAAAAATATCATTCCCACACACATATATGCTGTTTTAAATGTTCAGGAACTATATATGTTTCCAAATGGTATATCTGGCATTAAGAAATGCTGAAAAATTATTTATTTACTTTTTTCAAAATAACACAATAGCCTTACTGATGACAAAATTAATAGTACTGTATTTGGTTAATACTCTTTACTTTTTGAAAATGGTTAAGTCATAATTGATATCAGTTACCTCAACGTGTGACTTCCCCCCTTCCCCAACTCATCACCTACTCCCACAGTTTAACCCAAGCTATCTAATTAGTTATTGTTGCTGAATTCCAATTTCTAGACTCATTATTTTATGTTGGTTTGAAGGCTTCATGCACTATTTATGGAAACAGAAAAATCCATCAAGAATACTGTACCAGTAGCTGCCTTATCCCCCTGATGTTCTTCAATGTTTGTAGTGGTGTGCTGTGTTTCAGTGGCTTCCACTGCAGGATCCAGATGTGATGTTTCCGTTACCACTGTGTTGTTAATATTAGTGGTGGTAAATGACGACCAAAGGTTCGTTATTGCCCCACGAGCTGATGTGAAAGCTCCTCCTGATTAAAGAAATAACAAAAATTTTGTAATAGGGAAGAAGGGAAACAGACAAGGAGAAATGTTTTTTGTTGCAAGTGTTACAATGGAAAAGTGTATAAAATTATACATGGATAATGATACACTAGCAGGACTGCCGTACAGCATATAACAATACTGGCAAGAGACTCACTTTAGAGATATTCTGTGTTAGGTCATCTCCAGGAGTCCACTTGGTCAATCTTGCTGGCCTCTACCTTTTCTACTCTCTTGTTCCGTGAAGATATGAATTGGGGTCTGGGCTATACATGTATGACATTCTATCTTCTTCAGCAGTGTTTCAATCAAAGCCTATTCTGCTAGCTTCCCATATGTGGTATTACTGGCCTTGATTTCTTAGTCTCCTTTACAAGGTGGTGGTTTTGGCTCACTGGTTGCCAGTGTGGGTGCTGTTCGTATATTTTTCTGTCTTCTCTTTATAATGAATGGCACATGCCCTGTACTAGGAGACCTCATTGGGACCAAAGTGTTGATTTCTGTTAGCCCCTTTTGCGGTAAGCCCCAGTGATAGTGTGGTGGAGATTATGGGCACATTTTGGCACATGTAAACTGGGAAGGTTTGAGCCTTCCATCTGGTATTCAAGGGCCTCAATGTGGGTTTGGGGCTTCTGCTCGAGTGTACCCATGTCCTGTCCCTTTTGCTTAATTTTTTCGAATTCACATAAATGAGATGTTGGCCAGAGGTGTGAAAGTCATAATGTCTCTGGAGCTCACTTCCACTATTTCTGGAGGCTCAGAAAGGTGCCCCTAACCTCCAGATGACTATCTACCTCCTGTGAATAAATTTTCACACCCTCTGCCCAAGATTCCAAATATGCAACAAGTCCTCTGTTCACCGTATTGTTTAGAGCCAGTCTTCACACATCCCTCATTCCCTGAACTTCAAGGAGACCTACTGATATGTTCTCATCCTTCTAACATTCAAGGATTAGCTGGGCACTTCCCTTTGAAATAAAATTATCATCCATGATGTTTACTGTGCTAACCCGTATGGGTCTTCAGGAGTTCCAGCTCTTGGAAATCCAGGTCCTGGCCTATTTTGGCAATAGGTTAGTTTGAGCTCCAAGTTGTTGGTCTTGTCTGCTGGCCAAAGATTTGGTAAAGCAAGTGCTGGGTTGGTTTGCATTTGTTATGAATCTACAGTAGTCCCAGCCCTCACCTATTCATTTCCACCAGTGCTTGGGGGCTGTTTGGTATACCAAGTCTTAGCTCCCTCTTCCTTCTGGTGACTGCACTAAACCTGCTTACTTCTCCATCTCCTAGTGGTCACCAAGATGGAGTGGCTATTTAGTTACGATCTCTAGTGCCTGCTTGATTTCCTGAACCTCACCCGTGGGGTTTACCCCTCTGGATAGTGTTTAGCTGAAGGCACTCTTACTACTTTCTGAGGTGGTTCACATTTTGCCTAATCTAGGAATACATGATGCGTGCATTGATGGGCTTGAGGGTTCTGGTTCCACATTTTGCTCTTTGGGGTTTTTGGAGTAAACTATTGTTGGCACCCTCCAAACCTGTTGTTTGATCTGTTCATTAATATGTCCAGTGAGAGTTGTTGCTTTGCCTCTACAGGTTTGCCCTGACGGATGGGGCCAGTATGTGGTGCAGCCACATAAATATCAGGGTGATGACAACACTTTAGTGCATTTATTTCACTGTGAGGTTTAGCATTCAGGTTACACTCGTGTATAGATACCATGGTTCATGGCTTGAAATAGGCAGAGTTCACATTGGTCTCTCCAGTTATGGCACCTGTCTCTGGCTGTAGCCTCTCCTCTGGATTCCCAGTACTCAATCAACATTTGTGGTGTGTTGGATGTGCTCTCCCATTTTCGTCCCTTACAGATAAAGTGGAAGATAGTCATAACCTCCTTTCCCTGAACATGAGAGTTTTGGCCAGCTGCAAGTGAATCCATTTGCCTTCACATGGAACCCTTGACTTCTGTTGTACATGGCTTCATTACCTAATAGGAAGGGATTGTCACGGGAGGCTATGCATATTGAATGAATCTGGCAGTCCCATCACCATGCACTACCATTCCCATTACTACCATTCCCATTACTACCATCACCAAGCATCACTACTACCATCACTAAGCACCACCATTCTCATCACTATTATCACCAAGCACCACTCCCATCACTGCTACTCCTCCCTGCACCAATTATTGTACTGAATCACATCTAGTGAGAATTTTCATGACCTGATAGTGGAAGTTGGCTTATATGATATTGAAAGATATCTTTTAAAAGCTTACCAACAGCCTCTTTGGTCTTGACAACTGCTGTACCAGTGTTGGCAAGTGTTTGATTGATGCGTCGACCTTTGTCCAGTCCTTGGATTGTGCTAAAATGGAATAACAATAAATTACAAAAGTAATCTTTAATAAATAAATACACACAGACACAGTTCAACAAAAATTGCGAGAGAACCAGAGACCAAAAAACACAAAAAACCAGCATTGAATGTAATGAAACTCCATTTTCTGGGTGAGCCTCGGAGGCTCCCTGGAGCTCATCGGGCTAATGTATGTTATGTTAGATCGGGACATTAACTATGGAGTTCAGACCTATCAGGGACCATCGCCAGAATCTGGCCCCTTCAGAGAGGTTTCAGGGAGCAATGGCCCTGGAAAACCCCATTATGGTTGGGGTTTTTCCTTATCTGCCATCGACCGGGGTTAGGCACCCAGAAAGGTAGGCATAACAAAACAAACCCCACATGGTAAGAAACTACCACAAAAAAACAGAGAGGTAGAAACTCCCTACAATCCCAAGGAAACAATCAATCAATCAATTTACTGCTGCGCCGGTTGTCCGTGCAGCCCTCCCCTCCCCGGGAGGGGGAGGGGGCCCCCGAACTTCACCGCGCCGGCTGCCTTCAGTTCGGAAACTAGGCTTCAACCAACGCGAAAAAACCCCGCCGACCGGATGGGAGGGAGGGTAGCCAAGGAGCCTCTGGGGCTCACCCAGAAAATGGTGTTTCATTACATTCAACGCTGGTTTTCTGTGGGGAGCCCCTATGGCTCCCTAGAGCTACATACCCAAAGAGAAGGAAATAGGGACTTACCCGGGAGGTGGCGGCCACAAACTCCTCAACTCGAAGTCGATACAACTGGCTGCAACCTGTGACCCAAAGCAACACAAGAACGCCGAGGAGCAGGGACGTTCACCAAATAACGGGCGGCCAGGACCCTGTTCGACTTCCAAAATCCACATGCCTGAATATGAGCCCAAGACATGTTACCAAACACGGCAGCCAAAGCTGCAAACTTCCGAATGTCATGGGCGCGAGGATAGATCCCAGGCTAGCTAGACTTAATAACCCTGCGGACAACCTGGGAGACCAGAGCCCTGGAACAGGGAATGAGGGAAACCGGATCAACCCAAAGTGCATCCCCAGCCACCCCAGCTGAAGCGAGCAGGTAACGGCGAAATACTGCAACCGGACACAACACATGATGCACCCCCGGCCGAACCAACCAAGCATGAATGACCCACGGACCCCTCCGGAAAGCAGCTGTCTCGTTCTTCGCCAGAAAAGATGGAGAAGGCTGCAAACGGACAAACCTACCCCCAGGACCAAAAGAGCAGAAACCCCTGCGCCGGAGGAGAGCACGAAGCTCCCCTACCCGGCCCCCAGAGGTCAATGCCAACAAAAACAAAGCCTTGGAAAAACAATCCGGAACCAAAGGGGCCACCACAAACTGAGGAGAGGAAAGATAGGAGAGCACCCTGTCCAAGGACCAGGACCGCTCAGGAGGTGCATGAGCAGGCCGGAGGTGAAACATAGCATAGGAAAGCTTACGAAACGGGGCGGATGTGACGTCCACCCCGAACACTAGCTTGAGCGGCTCCGCCAACGTTGCAAGATACGAGGCGACAGTATTAGGCATCAAATGACGGTCCTGAAAAAGCCAAGAAAGAAAGGACAAGACAACCCGATTCGAAAGAAAAGACAACCTACGATGAGCCAGAAAATGGCGAAAAGAACGCCAGGAAACTTTATACTGTTGCCGAGACGAAGCTCTCAGGTGGGACACCATCAACGAAGCCACCTGATCACCATAGAATTGGTGATACACCCGCGTCAAAAAGACCAGACGCGAAGAGCAGAGAAGGTCGAACCAGCCACGTAACGGACCGGGCCGCCCTGCTGAAAGAGGCAGAGCCAGTGGAAACGTCCTGGGTTTGGGCACCGAGCCAATAGCACCGGAAACCAAGGCTGGGCCAGCCACCTAGGGGCCACAAGGACTACTCTCCTTGCGAACGTCTCCAACCGAACCAGAACCCGAAGCAACAGCTGGACCGGGGGGAAGAGGTACAGGTAACCCCACCTCGACCAGTCCTGCAAGAAGGCATCCACCGCGAACGCCTATTTTTTTACTATTTTTGAGTTTGACTATTTTAGTCGTTTTAACCAGAATAGGGATTTGTTTTGTGGCGCTTATCTTTCTGGGTGCCTGGCCCGGTTAATGGCAGACATAGAATGCTGGAATCCCATGTGCATTTCTATAGGCCATTGCTCCTTGTGCCTCTCTGAGGGGGGTCAGGTTCTGGCTTGTGGTCCCCAGTTGGCCTAGAACTCCATTCACACTGACTGATGACAAAGTCTATTGATATACATATCAGCCTGGATAGCTCCGAGAAGTCGAAGGGGCTCCCACCAGAAAAATGCTAAAACCAAATGGATAGAATACCTGGAGAAATGATATAATAACAGGGAGATAGTATGATTTTCAAACAGGAAGATCCTGTGTAACAAATCTACTTTGTTTTTATGATAGAGCCACATATATTCTACAGGAAAGAGTACTTCCAAGTTCAGAGTGATAATTGGCAATAATGTACTCAGAAATGTCAATTATCTCTTCGGTGCTACTGTAAACAGTCTCTCTCCTGTCTCCACTCCCTAATTACATGGCAAAGCTACTTTAGTGTTCCTTGTAATAGTGGTACGAAGATTAATGAGAGCAGTGTCCTTAATGAATCCTGGCTTGGGGACCGCTCAGAAGTATACTTTTAATTCTTTCAATGCCTCATTTATATTATTTAAATAACAAAAAAACTGTGAATAGAATGATGCAACTTCGAACAAAATACACTTACTGTGAGAGCCTAATTCTCATGTCATTCATAGAGAGATTGCCAGCATGAGGATGGCCTGGGGTTAGCTCCATTAGAGTTGGGTAGGGTCCAGATGCCATCCATACACGATAATTGTGAGTGCCTTTCCAAGCACTCATGAAGCTCCCATTGAATACTTCACACTCTCGACTTCCGTCTGAAAGTTAATGAGATAGTCTCTTAGTTTATGTGGGCCACTTGAATTTATCAATGATAAATATTCCATTATGAAGATGGTGTATATAAAGGTAAAATGGGAAGAATAGAGATTTTAGTGTAATGAAATGCCCCTTTCTAGGCTCTTCCTTGTTGATCCCTTAGCTTATGATGTAGCCATTACTGATCAATGATAATGCCAGGTATCTTTAGAGACTCACATTTCCTACCAGGGCAAACTGCCCTATTTGCAATGAAAGGAGGTTACTAGACACCAAATCTCCCTCTGATTACAAAGAGCAGATGACAATGCAGAGAAGAGAAGTAGACAGCTGGATGCCGGGACATCAGAGGGGAAGAGTATACAAGTTCATAGTTACCACCCAACACATTCAGGGCCCAGGCATCCCAGTTTGAAGCTTTTCCCTGCCACAGTGTCACTGGGATCTACCATGAAGGGGTTACCAGGGGCAATCCCAGTTGCCACCAGACCTCAGGATACACTTGTCTGAACACAGGAGGCAGCATAACCAAATGAGAAGCTGCACATAAATGGCCCACTAACACCACTTGCCAAATACTGTACCTGAACCAGCAGCTGGAGAAGACCCAGAATGGACTGACCACGAAGGAAAAGACAGTTTAAGCGAACATGTGAAAGGGCTGGAAGAGACCCCTGTAAAGATCCACTTTACAGGTGTGGGTCTACTTCCCTATTTGAAAAGAGGATGCTCAAAGAAAATAATGTGACAAGGGGCGAGATTCACGAAGCAGAAATGCAAGCACTTATGAACCTGTGCATCTTTTCTCAATCTTTGGCACCTTTGTTTACAATTATTAAACAGTTAATGAGCTCTAAAGCACGAGGAGGCTGCTTATAAAAATAACAACAGATGAATGGCAAGTTTTCATGCTTGTAAATTGTTTAATAAATATAACCAAAGCCGTCAATGATTGAGGAAAGATGTACACGTTCGTAAGTACTTGCGTAACCGCTTTGTGAATCTGGCCCCAGGAATGCAGAAATCAACCATGCCAATTCCTGGAAATTATCTTACATCAAGCCACATAGAAGGCCATAATTATGCTCCAAAGAAATGAAGCTCAGACTTCAACTACAATGAAAACAACTCTAGCATCATTAGAAAGCTCAAAACCACTAACCACACCCCAGTCTTGTATCAATTAGCTCTAAAGCAAACAGGAGCCTAGATGTGAAGTGTGAAGTGCCTTCATCCTGAGTTCATTGCTGGTGGCTTTGGAGCGAGGCGAGTAGGTGTTTGGGATTCCTCATGGCCCTGGACTGGCCAAGTTTGAGCTAGGGTTGTTCATCTATTGCCAATTATCTTTGTGTTTGTCATGTAATTTCCCTGCATAACCGTGGAAAGCTGCCTTTTCCTACCTCCCTCAACACCTACTTGCTACAATACATCCTCTATGACAAAACCAGACAGTCATCTGGAAACCTCTACCTGGGTCACTCTACCAAACCCCGTGACCCTCAGCCAGGTGTTCCCGCCAGCGCTAGTTACCTCCCGCCCACCAACTGCTCGTTATGTCGCCGGCTTCTCGTCGACGCAGCACCTTACTGCCCTACATGACATCACCCACAGGTGTATATAAGCACCTGCCGGTGCCCTGGAAGAGCAGACTACTACTAGTGCTCCTGGGGTCTACACTTCGCCTCCTTCACTTGCTGTGGTCCTACTACGATGCATAATGGTGCACATGTTGGGCTAGTATATTAGATTAAGTCACCCTTTTGTTTTTCAAGTACAGTAAATTTGTTCATTTCTCATATTTGGCCAAGTATTTTGTTAACAATTATTTTGTGGTTATAATTGAGTTTACAGTAAAGTGTTTAATTGTTTATGTATATTTTTTAATTCCTACAACTTTTCACGCCACAAAGGCCAAGCCGCTTTTATTTACTTTGTTTTACTTTTTTGTTTTATGTGCGTAAGGGCAACTCCAGCTGCTCCTGTATTTGCTGCACTACCACACTATAACATCAGAGCATTTTTTCCATTATTAATATTTTTTGTAATCTGGACTTTCTATTCAGTTTTTCTCAGTTTGTGGGTTAATCTCTGATCCTCATTTCTCACGTGCCTTGTCGAGAGAACCAGATTTTAGTCTTGGTTCTTGGTAGGCCTGCATAAGTCAAGAGACCTGGTAGAACCTGAAGGCTTATTGGCAGCTGCACTTACTTAAAGTCTGGGTAGTAGCTCCTAATGGGGTTAAAGCAGAAAAACTTGAAAGTTCTGAAAGGGTTCTGTCCCATATATTTATGCACAAAGTAGAAATAACCATTTAGTAGATATTCTTGATTTAGATCAACATAAATATTTTATGAGTAAATATTTGAATTAAATATTAAGCACAAATATACATAAGGTAAAACTTACTTTTTAAACTCACCTGGGCAAACAGATGATCGTAAAAGAGAGAGGAGGTAAACCTTAAACTGGTAACGGAGCCATTCCTCCCCACCAACCCAGCCAACACCTTCAAGAAACACATCAGGGTGATTCTTTATGGGAGATGTGCCATTGGCAGTTTTGTTATTTATGGTTGCACTTACTGCCTCTACCTGCAATTAAAAAATATAATTGTTAAAATGTTACATATTCAGGATGAGAAAGAAGTCCTTGGCAGTAAAATTACTGTACTCTATATCTACATGTTCCCCTCTATTTTCTGCACATTGTTTGACATGTACAAAAGAATTTGTACATTCCAATATTCAAGTAGTGGCCTTCATAATCCCCAGACCCTGCATAGCCGTGGAAAGCTGCCTTTTCCTACCTCCCTCAACACCTTCTTGAGGGAGGTGTTTTACTTTTTACTTTACTTTACTTTACTCGCCATTAGCACTGGGACTGGGAACAGACGGGAAACTCATCTGAGGCATGTCGTTGTTTCGACAACGCCCAAGCGTACCCACTCCGAGACGACCTGACAAAGTGCTGGAGAAGAGGTCTGCTCCACCAGCCCAGAACCGTCCCCCCCCCCGAAGGAGGAGGGGGCCACCCAACACCACAGTAGGCAGTTGGAAACGACACGAAAAACCCACAAATCGTGAAACCAGGAGTGAGCGAACAGTGCAAGCCTTCTCTCCATCGCCCTGTTAAAAGGGGTGAACCGCGAAAGGGCCGACACCCCTGACAAGAACCTTACTTACACACAAATCGATCACCACAACAACCAGACGAAGAAAAAACCCAGCGCTGAATGCAATGAAAAGCCATTTTCTGGGTGAGACCTGGAGGCTCCCCAGAGATTACTAGGCTGATATGCTAATGTCAGACTTTGACATCAGTCATGTGTATGTAGTTCTGTGGGCCTACCAGGGCCCACGAACCAGAATCTGGCCCCCCTCAGAGAGGCATGGGGAGCAATGACCTATAGAAACCCCCGTGTGGTTAGAAGCATTCTATGTCTGCCATCGACCGGGTCAGGCACCCAGAAAGGTAAGCATCCCAAAACAAACCCCTATTCTGGTGAAAATATTGCTACCAAAAGCCGAACAAGTGGATAGAACTCCGATAAAAGAAACAAGCAAACGAGCATGAAGTCACACGTCGCCGGGTTGCTGTCTGAGCAGCTACCCCCTCCTCGGGAGGGGAAAGGGGAAGCCCCAGACTCCCCACGCCGGCTATCCACCCGTCAGTTCTGAGGCTGGATGTCAAAAACACACAAAAAACTGCCAACTGGAGGGAGGGAGGGAGGGAGGGATGCTGGGGAGCCTCTGGGTCTCACCCAGAAAATGGCATTTCATTACATTCAACGCTGGTTTTCTGGGGGAGCCCCTTCGGCTTCCCGGAGCTAACTACCCACAAAGGAAAAATATAGGGACTCGCCCGGGAGGTGGTCGCTGCTCACTCTTCAACTTGAAGTCGAGACAACTGGCTGCAACCGCCGACCCAAAGCAACACAGGTCCGATGGGGCCAAGGGACATTCACAAGGTAACGAGCAGCCAGGACCCTGTTCGACCGCCAAAAACCCTGCGCCCGAATATCAGACCAAGACATATTCCCAAAGAAAGCAGCAAGAGCCGCGAACTTACGGACATCATGGGCACGGGGATAGACCGCAGGCTGGCTGGATTTGACGACCTGGGAGACCCGAACCCGTGAACAAGGAAGAAGGGAAACCAGATCAAGCCAAAGCGCGTCCCCGGACACAGAAGCCATGGCGCACAAATAACGGCAAAGCGGTGCAACCAGACACAAAGCATGATGCACCCCCGGCCGTACCAACCAAGCATCAACCACCCACGGACCACTCCGGAACGCAGCAGTATCATTCTTCACCAGAAAAGGAGACAGCTGCAAGCGAACAAAACAATCGCCACGACCGAAAGAGAAGAAACCCCTGCGCCAGATGAGAGCATGAAGCTCCCCGACCCGACCTTCAGAGGCTAATGCCAACAAGAAAAGAACCTTGGAGAAACAATCCCAGATCGAAGGGTCCACAACGAAATGAGGAGACGAAAGGTAAGTGAGCACTCTGTCCAAAGACCAGGACAGCTCAGGTGGCGCATGAGCAGGCCGGAGGTGAAACAAAGCATGCGATAGCTTGCGAAACGGCGCAGACGTAACATCGATACCGAAGGCAAGCTGAAGCGGCTTCGCCAGCGCTGCATGATACGAGGCGACAGTGTTTGGCATAAGGTGACGGTCCTGGAACAACCAAGAGAGAAAGGACAACACCACCCTAACAGAAAGCGAAGTACATCGACGAAGACACAAGAAGAAACGGAAGGACCGCCAGGAAACTTCATACTGCCGCCTAGAAGAAGCCCTCAGGTGGGACACCAACAAGGAAGCCACGTGATCACAATAGAGACGATGATCGACTCAAGTCAAAAAATCCATACGCGAAGACTCGAGGAGAAGATCGAACCCGCTACATGACGTACTGGACTGATCTGCTGAAAGAGGCGGAGCCGCGGGAAAACCCTCGGGTTCGGACACTGAGCAAACAGCGCCTGAAACCAAGGCTGGACTGGCCACCAAGGGGCCAGAAAACAACTCTTCCCTGGTAAGTCTCCAAGCGAGTCAGGACCTGAAGCAATAGCCGAACTGGGGGAAAGAGGTAAAGGAACCCCCCACCTCGACCAGTCCAGCCGAAAGGCATCGACCCCAATGGCCTTGCGATTGGGAAGGGCACCACATACACGGGAAGGCGCCTCGACCACGCCGACACAAGAGGTCCACCTCGGGGTGCCCGAACGTCTGGCAAAGCCAACGGAAGGAAGTGTCGTCGACCGTCCACTCTGTGGAGAGGGGAACGAAGTGAGACAGGCCGTCGGTCAAGATATATCACACTCCCTACACATGAACCGCCAGGAGAGCCAAACACCGAGAACTCAGCAGACGAGTCACCCGAAGCGACCAACCCCAAAGAGACAAGGACCGCATCGAACCCCCGCGGTTCAGGCAATGAACCACCGGAGAGCAGTCCGAATGGAGCCGAATCGTCAATCTGCGGGCAACCTGAATCCTCCGAAGAGCAAACCACACCACCGCGAACTCCTGCACTGTGCTGTGAGCTCGATGGAAGGACGGACCCCAACGCCCCTGGCTGGCCTGGCGAGTACTGGTCACAAAGCCCCAGCCGAGAGATGACGCATCCGTGTACACATTGAGTGAGGGCTCGGGTAGGCACCAAGGCACTGAACCCCGAAAAACCCGAACAGGAAGCCGGCAACGCAGCAGCCGACGCAAGGCTCCCGGGGGTCGAACCCTGCGATCGCGAGAGAGGCGGAAGGGGTATCAGCATCAAAAATCCAGTTTGACCGATTCTCACCATTTTTACATATAATGGGAACAGCTGTCTGTTCTATAATCGTATTAGATTGTTTTTTCACAAACCTTAAGTGTTGGGAGTTATAAATTTTTTGGTAAAACTTTGGCGCACATTTCAAATGCCATATTGACAATTTTTTTTACAGTAAACTATACTGAATCCTATAATAATAACTAATAAAAATGAAGATCATATGTTCTTCTGAGAGCATAATAACACCAAATGAACAATGTGATATTTAATATTTTTGATGCTCATTTGAAAATCTGAAATTTTCAATATTTATATAATTATTTTTCACTTTCTTGTTTTTCAATTTATGTTGGTTATTATTTAGACAAAGTTGGAGCATGTGCCTAGTACATTATGTACAAAAAATTTAAAAACGTTTGAGCTAGGTGTAAACTTTAATTTCCCAGCCCCTTAAATTTATGATAATTTAACATTTACTTATTTTTAATACAATTATTTATTATTGCTATTATTATTATAATTATATTTGTAGTACAGTACTATTAGTTAAAGTAGTATTTATTATGTTATGTTCACATACATAATAAGGTATTAGGAGTTGATGAACAATGTTAAGCTTCATGAAGAGATTGATAACGGAACAGTTTGGGAACCCCTGGTACTGTATACAGAACATGCATGCATACACTTGTATCTCAAATACAGTATTTTACAATCTCAACATATTTAGCAACATACCTGACGCACAATGTTCTCTGCAAAGCGGAGATCTTCTGTAGAGAGGCTGAGCTGACGCTTTAAATCTGGATCAGGTATCTCTATCTTTCCTTCATCCAGCTGTAAGTTAGAATGATTATGGAAATCTAAATAATGAGACTTTTATATACAGTAATTAAAAAATGTTTACATAATTTGCTGCCTGGTTTTAATGCCTCTTCCACTGTTTCAAACAATAATTCACTGTTGAATAATTGTTTGTAAAAGGAGAAATATCCAATCTTTTAACAAAATTTTTCTCACCTGTACATAACAATGATTGTTCTCACCTGTACATCACAATGACTCTTCTCACCTGTACAAGTACATCATAAAGATGTCTCTTATGGATGAAAAGTGTATTGGAAGCTCCTACGAGGAAAGCACGAGAAGTTGGGGCACTCAAAACATCTAAGTACTGCAATGATAGGTATGGATGCACCAAGTTACCCTGAAACAAACATAAGTTAATTTACTTTTTTTATGTTTTAATATAAATAAAACAAATATATTTTAGGGTTTCAAAACATAATAAAATGTAAAAGTTTTACTTGAAAGTCTAAAAAGAGGTCTTACTTAAAACCCACACTACAGCAAGATTCATTAAATATCTTGCTGGCAATGTTTACTCATTTATTATTCTAGAGGGGGTGGTAATGTTTATTCATGAAGTAATTACCTAAGAGAATTTACCTAATTGTAATGATCTAAGTGTAATTACCTCAGTTTAATTATACACACTGTTAGTCTCAGCGTGTGTGTGTAACTTCCTAAATGTAGTTACAGGATGAGAGCTACGCTCATGGTGTTCTGTCTTCCCAGCACTCTTAAAATGCAAGGGCTGTATATAACAGAATGCAAGGGGTGTATATAATAGAATGCAAGGGGTGTATATAATAGAATGCAAGGGGTGTATATAATAGAATGCAAGGGGTGTATATAATAGAATGCAAGGGGTGTATATAATAGAATGCAAGGGGTGTATATAATAGAATGCAAGGGGTGTATATAATAGAATGCAAGGGGTGTATATAATAGAATGCAAGGGGTGTATATAACAGAATGCAAGGGCTGTATATAACAGAATGCAAGGGGTGTATACAGCAGGGTAGAAATATATTGCCAAAGCTACTCTATCCTTTTGAGATGCATCTTATTGTCTCAATAAACGTTCTTGAACTTGAAGGGGCATATATAATACAACACAGGGTTGTATATAGTACAACATAGGAATGTATATAATACAACACAAGGGTATATATAATACATCACAGGGGTGCATATAATATAACACTGGGGTATGTACAATACAATACAGGAGGGGGGGATGTATAATTGAAAACATTAGTGCATATTATACAACAGAGATGGCTGAAGACCAAAATAACAAATGAGTCGTCATCGCCTCATCTTGTGGTGTGTGGTTTAGTTCTCATATTATTGGTTCTCATAAGCCACATTATTGTGAGTCATTGTCTGCACCAAAAGAACAACCACCAGGTCTGAAGGAACAGAAACTACGCCTCCAGCGAAGCGCACAAAGCATCCCATCCCAACTTACGGAAGCCAAAGCAAAGACGAAAAATGCCTAAAGAAAAGAATTCCTAGGAGGAGACAAGATAAGTTCAGTAACCTGGTATCGTGTGGAAGCCTGGTACGTGAGCCTCATGTACCAAGGAGTTACTGAGGGATGGCTGCCAAGAGATGTTACTATTTCATTAAAGCTTCAGATATTCATGAAGGTGGTCCACATAACGATTGTACGTGGGATCGAGGTGGCATTTCCACGGTGATGAGGATATTCTTATTCGTGTGTTGCTAACTTGGTGCTCGATAATTGTGTTTTGTTAACTTATTTTATTCAAGAACACGGTGTTCTTGAATAAGTGTATTCAAGAACACCCTCTTAGAACACTATGATGTTCACTACTTTATAACACCATTAAGTACACCACATTAGAAGACCATGATGTTCACTACTTTAGAACACCAGGAAGTACACCACATTAGAAGACCATGATGTTCACTACTTTAGAACACCATGAAGTACACCACATTAGAACACCAGAGAAGGGGGGTAAGAAAACCCCCCTTGCCCCCTGCAACAATAAGCCCTGTGAAGAGGGCACCAACACCCAAACGGGGTCAAAGGGGAACCAAGGCCCCCAGGTTAACTCCTCCCCAGCCCTAGGACCCCCCCAATTCGGTACCCAGGGCAGAGCCGTCCTCCATACCCACTACCCCTAAGTCCAGGGGAATGGCCGAAAAGAAGGGGGGGCCGCCTGGCGAGACCCAGAAGCCTTGGAAAGAGGAACCGGCTCGAATGCCTCCGTCCCTAACCCGAACGGGGCAGCCCCTGAAGCCGCCCGAGTCTCATTATCAACTAAACCCTGTCCCGACCCCGAAACCCTCAGATGTTTGGGAGCTGGAAGCAGGGGAGGGAGGTGCAGGATGAACAACAGGAAGGACCAGAGAGTGCGGACTGAACCAAAGTTGAGGTGACTAACACCCCCAGGTCCAGGTCTTTATAACCTAAGTGGGGCAGCCACGGGGCATCTTGGCGAGAAACCAACCTAGCGCGTTGCAGCAACCTAAACCTAGCATGAAACAAGGATGCCATCTATACCCAAACAGTAATGGCATCAGAATAGTATTGGAGAGCAAGCAGAGAACACAACTCGCAAAACACTGGGTCAAAGGTGTCGTTGACCCAACAGGCAGCATGTCAGAGGCAAAAGAAGTGACTGACATCCCTGAGACAAGGGCACACAGCAACCTTCAACCTGCACGAGGCTGGCTGGAACTCGGAAGACACATACATAGGTCCACCGAGCCCCAACAGGGCTGCAGGCGATGAGTCACAATAACGTGGCTAAAGTAAGTTGACCAGACCACACACTAGAAGGTGAAGGGATGACGACGTTTCAATCCGTCCTGGACCATTCTCAAGTCGATTGTCGACTTGAAAATGGTCCAGGATGGACCGAAACGTCGTTGTCCTTTCACCTTCTAGTGTGTGGTCTGGTCAACCCAACAGGGTTTTTCCAGGGTCCGTAGACTAACTGTTATGGGAAGCCCGAGTATGATGTTGCTAACTGGTCAAGACCAAAAGCTAACAAGAGGGATGATCAAAACTCTGAAACCCCTGCAATGAGTACAACCATGGGGGTCTAGCGAAGGGCCACCAATATATTACAAGTGGAACTATAGCCACACCAGGCAGACCCCCACTAGGTAAAGAAAACAAAAACAAAAGAAAAACCCCGCAAAAGTACAACGTCCCCAGAGGAAACAGGAACCGGCCGCCACATTGGTAGGCAGGCTGCACCGCACCTTGATGCCCCAACCAGAATGATACCAATCCCTACCCCACGGCCAACCAAGGGCGCCGGAACTCCAGTTGGCCCCAGGGGTGGGGTAAGTGCCAACCAGCAAAAAACCAGCATTGAATGTAATGAAACACCATTTTCTGGGTGAGTCCCGGAGGCTCCCCGGAGCTATCCAGGCTGAATGGATATGTATATCTTTCTGGCATCAGTCTATGCATGGAGTTCTTGCCTACCAGGGACCACGAGCCAGAACCTGCCCCCTCTAGAGAGGTACAAGGAGCAATGGCCTACAGAGATCCCCCCATCCTGTGGTTGGGAGCATTCTATGTCTGCCATCGACCGGGACAGGCACCTAGAAACGTAGGCGCCCCAAAACAAACCCCTATTCTGGTAAAACTATTGCAACCGAAGGACGAACAAGAGACATAACTCCCCAAACGAAAATTAGCAAACATAGAATGATGTCATCATGTTGCCGTGCTGCTGTCTGTGCACCTCCCTCCCCGGGACGGGTAAGGGGGAGCCCCAGACCCACCTGCTGGCAACCCAACTCTTAGGCTGGACGTCAAAAAGTGAGAAAAACATTGCCGACCGGAGGGAGGGCGGGATGCTGGGGAGCCTCCGGGACTCGCCCAGAAAATGGCGTTTCATTACATTCAACGCTGGTTTTCTGGAGGGAGCCCCGTCGGCTCCCCGGAGCTACCTCACCACAGATAAGGAAAAGAGGGAAGGATCTGTGAGGCGGACGCCACATGCCCTAACATAAAACAAGAAAACAGACTAAAAGAAAGGACCTTGCCAACGACCCGGGAGACCTGAACCCCAGAACAGGAAGGAGGGAAGTAATGGAATCCGGGCAAACCAAAACGCGTCCACAGCCCCAGAGGCCAAGATGCGCAGAGAACAGCAAAGAGCCGCAACCGAACAAGAAAAGAAAGCACCCCGGCCTGACCAACCAAGCAGCAACCCAAGGACCCCTAAGGAAGCAGCAGACCCAAACATCACCTGAGAAGAGGAAGACTGCATTAGAACCGAAGGGATCATGACAACCGAGAAGAAAATAGACCACCCGGGCCAACGACCAGGACAGCATGGGAAGCGCAAGATCAGGCCGGAGTTGAACAAAGCCCAAGACAGCAAGCGAGCAGAAACAAGCAGAAGGAACAGCAACACCGAAGGCAAGCTGGAGCGGCTCCGTCAGTGCCACCCAAAACAAGGGAGCAGTACATGGCACCAGAAGACGGTCCTGGAACAATCCCGAAGGGAAAGACAAGACAACCCTATCAGAGACCGAAGAACCCTTTGCGGTGACAGGAAAACCAGAAGGACCGCCATGAAACCACACACTGCCGCTGAGACGAAGCACGCAGGTGGGAGACCAATAATGAAGCCACCAGCGCCCCCACAAGCAACGAGAACACAAGACAAAAACTCCAGACACGAAGACTCGAGGGGAAGAACGAATCAGCCCCGTACAGGGCTGGACCGATCAGCAAAAAGAGGCAGAGCCACGGGAAGCCTCTTAGGATTGGAACCGAGGAAAGTAGAGCCCCCAAACAAGGCTAGCAAAAACCAGAAGGAACGGCTGCCAGGGAACCAGCTGAAAAGGAACCAACCTGGACGAGCAGAAACGCCCCGTCCGGGAGGAACCCCCCCCACCCCAAGGACCCTGGAAGGACCAACAAGATCATACACCGAAGAGCCAGGGCCCAGGCAGAGGCCAACGAGGAAACTGAGCACCACGAACTAAAACGCGAGACGCGAAGCGAAAAGCAGTGACCCCACAACCCTAAGGAGCAGCGCAATCAGCTCCAGCAGGGAAGAATGAGGCAGGCGTCACAGAGGTATACAGGAGGAGAACTACTCAGGACGTGTACCGCAAAAGGGTCCTGGCTGCACGTTACCTTGTTAATGTTCTTAGTTCTTCTTGGGTGTGTATAGCCTTGGGTTGCAGATTGTGGCGTGTTGTCTCCACTTTGAGTTGAGGAACGAGTGATGACCGTCTCCCGGGCGAGTCCCTTTTCTTCTTATCTTTGGTTAGGTAGCTCTGGGGAGCCGAAGAGGCTCTCCACAGAAAACCAGCGTTGAATGTAATGAAATGCCATTTTCTGGGTGAGACCCGGAGGCTTCCTGGCACCCTCCCTCCCTCCGGTTTGCGGTTTTTCGAGTTTTTGATACTCGGCCTCTAAACTGAGGAGAGTTGCTGGCGTAGAGGTCTGGGATCTTCCCGTCCCCCTCCCGGGAAGGTGGGGTTGCGCAGACGTATGCGTGGCAGTTGTGGTGACGTCATGTTTGTTTCCTTGTTTTTAATTGGGGAGTTCTGTTTGCTAGTTAGGCTTTCGGTTTGCATTTTTTGACCAGCAGTAGTTTGTTTTGAGATTCCTACCTTTCTGGGTGCCTGACCTGGTAGATGGTAGACAAAGACTGCTTCCAATTACACCAGGGTGTTTTTAGGCCATTGCTCCTCGTGCCTCTCTTGAGGGGGGCCAGGTTCTGGCTCTGGTCCCCGGTAGGCTTAGAACTCCTTCAATTGACTGTTGCCATGGTCTAATATATACACATCAGCCCGGTATAGCTTTGGGGAGCCAAAGGGGCTCTCCACAGAAACCCCTACGGAATTGGTTCCCGAACGCACCAGGGAAGAAAACCCTAACACAAGGGTAGTACTCACTGGGCGCTTAGGGAAAGATGGCCCTAAACACATGCAGCCCCGGTATGCTTGAGGGCACCTGGCCACCACACAAAACGACACAGTGGAGGATATCACAAAGGCAAACACTGCTTGGAAAGCGAGGCCAGAGAAAACGTCTATCCCAGTTCGCGTTAGTTGACAAACTGGAGTGGTTGGGTCTCCCCCTCCCCCCCTCCAGATGGGGGTGTGGGGTGTGCCCAGACAAGCAATGCTGCGATGGAATGCGACGTTTGCTTATTTGCTTGTTTTACTTGGGATTAGATGGAGTTCTGCCTCTTTGTTTGGTCTCCTGTTGCAATTTTCTTACCATGTGGGGTTGTTTGTCATGCTTACCTTTCTGGGTGCCTAAACCCGGTCAATGGCAGATAAGGAAACCCCCAACCACGGGGGAGGGTTTTCAAGGGCCATTGCTCCTTGTGCCTCTCTGAGGGGGCCAGGTTCTGGCTCACGGTCCCCAGAAGGCTGAACTCCATAGACTAATCCCCCAGTCTATTGATTAGCATATTAGCCCGATAGCTCCAGGGAGCCGAAGGGGTTCCCCACAGAATTACTGTCAAATGTCTACAGATATTCATCACCTGTTAACTTTCACCAACCTTGGTAAAAATCTCAAGTGGCAGCCCACAGTCTGATGATATGAGAGCAGCAAAATTTTCAGGAGGTGACTGAAAGGTGGAGAGGCTTTCTGGTTCAGGAAGCAACGGTTCCTGAGAGAGGGATCCTCCTGTGGTTGGGGACATGGGAACGTCATCTCCTGGTTCACTGGGTGATGGGTTGGGGGTAGCTGTTGATGCTGTATGAAAATACCTTTATTATGCAGACATTCATTTATATAATGAGGTACAGTACTGATATTATTTATGTTATAAATATCTAAACAATCTAAACATTGCTGCTCAAAATCTAGCTGGATAAAATCATCGGGAAAATGGGGGACTTTTGACAAATCACTAGCTTCATGTCCTCATTAAGGCCTCTAGAGAGTTAGTGACCCTTAGGTCAATTCAGGTTAGTGACAAACTTACATATGCATTACAGTGAACGTATATCATCTCAAAACTATATATATTTATTTTACCTGGAAGGTTGCTAGGGGCCCTGACAATTCCAAGGGAAATCCCCCAGGCAACAAATTGGCTTCGCCCAATATAATTTGGTCAACCAAGTTCATACTGTAACTTCAGTTCTATTTTAAAAGATTTCTAAAAAGCAAAGCATAAGATTACTGAAAGGTTAGTCCCTTCTTAACAGTAAGGAAATTATTTTGGTATGTAATATGCTGCACTGGAGTTTGTTTTTTAGTGTCAGTTTCTATCCTTTCTTACCATTTAGCAAAATCTTATGACCTGCATGGAGCATGAAAAGTACACTCATTATAGTCTGAATGCATTATGGCAAGACATATTGATGAGACATAATGATGAGATACTTCTTTAGGGACAAAGTTGAATATTACATAGACAAAAAAATACTGTAAATACTCCATGACATTTATTACATACAAGGTTTTTCTTGGGTTGGCGATTTTTCTTTTCCCGTCCAGTAGGTGAAAGCACCACTCAACCTGCCCTTCAGTGAAAACATTTTGCTTGTGATATTGGCGGCAGAGTTACCACTACCTCCACCATTAAACTCTGGAGGGGACATGATGGATCCCCGCGATGTCACAGATGTTAGGCTGGAGTTGCTGCTGCGACGCTCACTCAAGTCATCGCCTGGAGATGCTGCATTGAACAAAATTTTATACGATGAAAATGAGTCTATTAATGACTTAAAATTAATATCAATGATTTCAACTAATATAGAGATGAATCCTGGAAACCCCTCTCATAACTAATTGGTTTCAGACAAACAAATTTCTGAAAAAGTGCATTAATAACCTGCAGAGAAAATACACATTGAAGAATAAAATTATGTTAAATTTGTAAGAAGTATTTTGTATAACAACACTTGCTAAATGCTCTTAGTACTAACATGCAGAATGGTTCTACAGAGGTTCTAAGAAAAAAATAAATTTGTATTTACAAAAGAAAAAACCAGCGTTGAATGTAATGAAATACCATTTTCTGGGCGAGTCCCGTGAGCTCCCCGAAGCTATCCAGGCTGACATGGATATGTATAACTTTCTGGCATCAGTCAATGTTCATGGAGTTCTAGCCTATCGGGGACCATGACCAGAACCATCCCCCCCTTCCCCAGAGAGGCCAGAGGAGCAATGGCCTATAGAAACCCCCCATGTGGTTGGGAACATCATATGTCTGCCATTGACCGGGTCTGGCACCCAGAAAGGTAGGCACCCCAAAACAAACCCCTATTCTGGTGAAAAATTGCTACTGAAAGCCGAACGAGTGGACAGAACTCCCCAAACGAAAATTAGTAAATGAGCATGACCCTACCACATTGCTGCGCACACTGTCTGTGCAGCCTCCCCTCCCTGGGAGGGGGAAGGGGAGCCTTAGACCCTCATGCTGGCGATCCACCCACCAGTTCTTAGGCTGGATGTCAAAACTTGTAAAAAATAGGAGGGAGGGAGGGATGCCGGGGAGCCTCCGGGACTCACCCAGAAAATGGCGTTTCATTACATTCAATGCTGGTTTTCTGGAGGGAGCCCCTTCGGCTCCCCGGAGCTAAATACCCAAAGACACGGAAAAAATAGGGACTTACCCGGGTGGCGATCAGTCCTTACTCCTCAATACGAAGCCGAGACAACTGACTGCAACCGCCGACCCAATGCAACGCAGGCCCTACTAGGTCCAGGGACACTGACCAAATACCGAGTAGCCAGGACCCTGTTCGACCTCCAAAAACCCTGTACCCAGATGTCAACCCAAGCCATGTTGCCAAAGATGGCAGCCAAGGCAGCAAACTTACGAACGTCATGGGCACGAGGATAGACTTAAAAACTCCACGGATGACCTGGGAAACTTGCGCCTGGGAACACCGAGGAAGGGAAACTCGGTCAATCCAAAGCGCATCCCCGGCCACCGAAGCCGTGGCACACAAATAACGGCGGAGAGTTGCAACCGAACACAACACATGATGCACTAACCTTGGACTGACCAACCAAGCACCAACAACTCACGGACCCCTCCGGAAAGCAGCAGACTCATTCTTCACCAGAAAAGAAGTAGACGGCTGCAACGGAACAAACCTACTACTACCAGGACCAAAAGAGCAGAAACCCCCCTGTGCTGGAGGAGAGCATGAAGCTCCACCACCTGCCCCCCCCCAGAGGCCAATGCCAACAGGAACAGAGCCTTAGAAAAACAATCTTGAACCGAAGGAGCCACAACAAACTGAGAAGAGAGAAATGAGAGCACCTGGTCCAAAGACCAGGACGGCCCAGGCGGCGCATGAACAGGCCGGAGGTGAAACAATACTGGGTGTATACTCTTTTTCAGTTTTCTCACTTTAATTTTCGTAGTACATCGTTCATTGTGGAATCAAATGGTTCGCAACAGAATTCCCTAAAGGGATATATGCATATAAGGTCAAAAAGCCCGGCATGCCACCTGCACCAAACCCAAAATCGGCACTAGTTGAATGTTGATTGATTTGTTTGTTTTTTCCTTTTGGAGGGAGTTCTTTGGCTCTGTTTGGACGTAGGTTGCAATTTTCCCCAGTAGAGGGTTTGTATTGTTTTGTCTACCTTTCTGGCTGCTTTCCCTGGTCGATGGCAAATATGACATACTCTAAATGTAGAGTGCTCATATGGCCCTTGCTTCCTGCACCTCTCTGAAGGGACCAGGTTCTGGCTCGTGATCCCTGGTAGGCACAGAACTCCCGGGACTGATGACACCAAACTAATATGGCACATGTTAGTTTGGATAGCTTCAGGGAGCCTCCGGGGCTCCCCGCAGAAAAGAGCAAAATTTCTAATAATGAGGAGTTATTGTTATCAAGAATAAATATGCAAATAATGTTACTCTAGTTCTAAAAAGTATTATAAGAAAGTCTTACATTAAGACAAATAAGATACACTTACTAATGTTATCTGCGGTGATGCCCTCATGCTGAAGACTTTCGTCAGTGGTAACATTAATGATCTTGCTTCGCTCTGATCTATCTTCCAGCTTATCAAGGTTGTTTAATGTTTCTTCAATAGACTCTGACTCCTGCAGTTACAAAAATACAAACAATTATTCTACTATAATAAATGTTTGTAGCCAAATAATGTACTGTATATGTTTACAATGCATATTCAGTAGGCTTATGCTTGAATTGAATAAGTAATTATTATGGATACTTCTGGTGCATCTGATCTTGAAATCTTTGCCTAACTAGGCCACTAAGACCCATCTACCCAATAATTTATTTATTTATTTATTTATTTATTTATTTATATATTTATATACAAGAAGGTACATTGGGGGTTAACATAGAACATAGAAAATAAGTTGAATTTACATTCTTGTAAAGCCACTTTACAAAATGGGTAAATGGGAGTCATGTAAATGGGAGTCATGACCAAAATTTGGCTCACTCTTATAAGGCAAGGGGAGTAGGGGATCAGATTAACCAAAAAACTGAGATCAATAATGATAAAATGCACTGGAAAGCATAGGTGCAGCAAAACCAGTGAATGCTTGAAGGAAATTAGGCATTCCTAGGGAGAAAAGGCAATTGATTGTTACAGTGGTGTAAATAGTCTGGATATGCTGTGCCTGGCCACCACCAGATAGCAGCTCAGGTCACCTGCAATCTTAGCTAGCTTGCCCTCTCTCTCTCTCTTCCACCTCGTGTTATCAGCTCAACACTTGTTGGCCTCTACAGGGCCCATCACCAGCTGCTTCTCACTTTCAACTAAGTGGTGCTCAATTTCTCTGAAACAATAGTTCCTCTGGGGAGTCATTGATTTCTATATTTTCATTTACACTTCATGACTGCTTTTGAAACCAACACTGCATATACAATAGCATTCCATTTTGCTTCAACCATAGTCAGGGTTATCTTACCTGGGATCAGCTTATGCTGCCCTAAACATTCAAACTGTTTGCTTCTAAATGTTAACTTTTAAACTGCTCCTGTCATCCTCTCATGCAATAGAAGTCTGTGTCCCAATTTCCTATGTGAGAAGTGATCAGATGTTGACAGGGTGACACATTCTTAGAGAATGAGAGAGAAGTGTGTGAAGTATTCAACAAGAGATTCCAGGTCTACAACCGAAACCAGATTTGTAATTACTTAAGTATAATTACCTAAGTGTAGTTACAGGATGAGAGTTACGCTTGTGGTCTCCTGTCTACCCAGCACTCTGTCATATAACGCATTGAAACTACTGACGGTTTTGGCCTCCACCACCTTCTCACCTAACTTGTTCCAACCGTCTACCACTCTGTTTGCAAAAGTAAATTTTCTTATATTCTTCCGGCAGCTTTGTTTCCTTAATTTAAATCTATGACCTCTTGTTCTTGTAGTTCCGGGTCTCAGGAATTCTTCCCTATCGATTTTATCTTATTATTTTGTACGTAGTGATCATATCGCCTCTTTTTCTTCTACCTTCTAGTTTTTGCATATTTAAGCCAACACGCTAGGCGAGAGGCATAAAACAAGAACACCGCCTCCTGGAGGATAGGCGCAAATAGCTTGAGTAACGCTGCTGGCTCTCTGGCCGCCGAAGTCAACGTGGCAGACGATGACCCGGTAGCCAACTCCTCCACATCCTCCACAAGGGCAGCTCAAGGAGGGAAAAGAGGCGAAGGACCGAGGCCAAATGCCCATGAGCTCGAAGATTCCCTTCAGCCAAAGCAGCTGAAAGGGAAGGGACCTGGATGTGCAACTGAAGCATGGGGTGTTAGTCAGCTGTCACGGGCTGCTTCCTGGGGGTGGAGGCCTGGTCGAGGACCGGGCCGCAGGGACACTAAAAAGCCCCAAAATCATCTCAAGATAACCTCAAGATAACCCCAACCTCACAGGGAAGCACAGGAATGTACAAGCACCCATTAAGATGCTCAAATTCTCCCCTTAAGTACACCTGCTACATTGTAGCGAGCTCTCGCCACTCAAGAGTACGGGAATGACAGAACATATGCCACGCCCCCAACGAAAAGAAAGGGCAGTCCGCAAGCCAGGAAGACGCTGGTACCTCATAACGTATCCAATATGGTGAAAAAGACCCAAACTCAATGGAGGTCGGGTCGAGAACCAAGGCAAAATCCACAGGAGTCTCACAGGAGGTATGCAACAAAGGCCTCCCGAACCACCGCAGGGGTAATTCGAGAAGTAGAAAACCTCCGGAAGGACAGAGCAGCGGAACCCAGAACCCGGAATCGAATCCTGGGAGGGGGGGGGGAGGGAGCCCACCCCATATCAAATTCGTACAAGGGGTTATGATAACCCCTTAACCTGGACCCAGAAAGAAGACGAGAGAGATATCAAATAATATACACCTGGAAGATACTGGAGGGCCAAGTACCAAATCTACACAGTAAAATAACAACGTACTGGAGTGAACGACATGGAAGAAAATGTAGAATAGAACCAATGAAGAGCAGAGGTGCCATAGGCACAATCAGAGAACACTGTATAAACATCAGAGGTCCGCGGTTGTTCAACGTCCTCCCAGCAAGCATAAGAAATATTGCCGGAACAACCGTGGACATTTTCAAGAGGAAACTAGATTTATTCCTCCAAGGAGTGCCGGACCAACCGGGCTGTGGTGGGTATGTGGGCCTGCGGGCCGCTCCAAGCAACAGCCTGGTGGACCAAACTCTCACAAGTCAAGCCTGGCCTCGGGCCGGGTTTGGGGAGTAGAAGAACTCCCAGAACCCCATCAACCAGGTATCAACCAGGTATTTAACCCCAAACCTTGCAACAGCAGATCCCGCCCCGAAGGCACCAAAACCCAGGCAGGATCGAAAGGGGCCCAAGTGCCCCAAGCCACCTTCCCCCCCACAAGCCCCAGAAACCTCCAAACCAGGATTCGAGGCAGAGCAGTCCTCAACATCCGCCACCCTTGAAGAAAAGGCAGAGTCCAAGGAAAAGGCATCCAAGAAAGGGACCTGCTGGAAGGACCCAGAAGCCTCGACAGGAGTAAACGGCTCAAATACCTCTATTCCCGCTTCGAATGGGGCAACCTGGCAATTGCGGCCAGGAAGACATAGCTACAAGAGCACCCAAGGGGCCTCAGCTCAGAAATCAAGTGCTGAGTTTATGAACATTTTTTAAGGAGCCATTACTTTTTTCTCGGGTTTTTCTCAGCCCTACTTTTTCGTCCCACTTTCCCTGCACATGCTGGGGTGGTGGTGCATTAAGGAAGGGTTTCCAGTTTCCTGACTGTGTTGTTGGGCAATTCAGATGTCCGGTAACATGGAGATTTTGTTTTGTTGATGGCAACGAAAAACAAATTTTGCAATTAGATAACTGATGTTCAGTGATTTGCAGTTATAGTGCTTCATTGCATGGAAAGGGTGCAGAATGTGTTGGACATTTCCTTTTGTATTACAGTATGGTATAGTGAGTTAGTCGGTGATGGATTGAGATAGACTCAACATTATCTACTTACCCCATTTACATAAGATGGCCATTTGAAAAGTATCTTGTTAAGATGGGGTACCGAGATACCGGCTAAAAAAAGTTTCCCACAATCCGCACTCCATTATTTTTCTCAAACACAATCTTCTAATACTCTTATTAGCTCACCTTAGCAATATCAGCAATCTGTACCACAGTGTTTTGAACATCTCCATTAGCAGAAGATCCATCTGCTGTGTCCCCTATTATTTTAATGTCACCAGGATCTGCCTCATTGCTGCAAAGAAAGTAATTACTATTTAAAAGCTCAACTATACACAGTTTATTAAAGCATAAAAGAAATGCATTACTGTATTTACATGAGTTTTCAAGACATTAAAAATATTACATGTTACAAAAAATACACTGTATATATGTACACACAGTATAGTATGTACAATACATGACTATTTAATTACCTCTAGGGCTAATGTACATACCTATGATTCTTAATACCATGAAATAAACAATATGAAACTACAGTATAAGAAATAGTTAATCACATACGCAAGCATAATACAGTACTGTATATTACTTTTGCATATTTTGGAGAAGCATGAGTTACTGTCAATGAGTAAGGCCTGAGGGAGATGAGACTTGCTGCTGACTCAATGTCAGCAGCAAGTCTCTTCTTGCTGAAGTAGATGTGAAAGAGTATCTTACTTGGGATGTACAAGAATTACCAACATCAGAAGGATCACAATGTCAAGGTCGAAAGGTTTACAACCCCAAAGTCAGAAGGGTTACAACCAAAGATTAAAAGAGTCACAACCAAAAGTTCTTGTATTTGCATGGTGTAGTGAGATAATATATATATATATATATATATATATATATATATATATATATATATATATATATATATATATATATATATATATATTATTAAATATGACCGAAAAAGTAAGATTAATAATTCTAACACGAATTTTCTCAATCTTTCGTACATTACGCTTCACTGTTGGAGGTAAATAAAAAATCACTTCTCCAAAATTCATTTTTATTTCTAGTCTGACGCGACACGGGCGCGTTTCGTAAAACTTATTACATTTTCAAAGACTTCACAAATACACAACTGATTAGAACTTGCGTTTCTCTGATTTTATATCTACATTTGAGTGAGGTGGGAAGGGTGATGTGGCATTAACACAAGACAGAACAATAGGGGATATTAATAGGGTATTAAAAGTATCAACACAAGACAGAACAGAAACAATGGGTATTGAATAGAAGTGTTTGTAGAAAGCCTATTGGTCCATATTTCTTGATGCTTCTATATTGGAGCGGAGTCTTGAGGTGGGTAGAATATAGTTGTGCAATAATTGGCTGTTGATTGCTGGTGTTGACTTCTTGATGTGTAGTGCCTCGCAAACGTCAAGCCGCCTGCTATCGCTGTATCTATCGATGATTTCTGTGTTGTTTACTAGGATTTCTCTGGCGATGGTTTGGTTATGGGAAGAGATTATATGTTCATATAATCTCTTCCCATAACCAAACCATCGCCAGAGAAATCCTAGTAAACAACACAGAAATCATCGATAGATACAGCGATAGCAGGCGGCTTGACGTTTGCGAGGCACTACACATCAAGAAGTCAACACCAGCAATCAACAGCCAATTATTGCACAACTATATTCTACCCACCTCAAGACTCCGCTCCAATATAGAAGCATCAAGAAATATGGACCAATAGGCTTTCTACAAACACTTCTATTCAATACCCATTGTTTCTGTTCTGTCTTGTGTTGATACTTTTAATACCCTATTAATATCCCCTATTGTTCTGTCTTGTGTTAATGCCACATCACCCTTCCCACCTCACTCAAATGTAGATATAAAATCAGAGAAACGCAAGTTCTAATCAGTTGTGTATTTGTGAAGTCTTTGAAAATGTAATAAGTTTTACGAAACGCGCCCGTGTCGCATCAGACTAGAAATAAAAATGAATTTTGGAGAAGTGATTTTTGATTTACCTCCAACAGTGAAGCGTAATGTACGAAAGATTGAGAAAATTCGTGTTAGAATTATTAATCTTACTTTTTCGGTCATATTTAATAATATATGTCTACAGGAAAGACTGCTACCAAAATATACTAATATATATATATATATATATATATATATATATATATATATATATATATATATATATATATATATATATGTATATATATATATATATATGTATATATTTTATTAAATATGACCGAAAAAGTAAGATTAATAATTCTAACACGAATTTTCTCAATCTTTCGTACATTATGCTTCACTGTTGGAGGTAAATCAAAAATCACTTCTCCAAAATTCATTTTTATTTCTAGTCTGACGCGACACGGGCGCGTTTCGTAAAACTTATTACATTTTCAAAGACTTCACAAATACACAACTGATTAGAACTTGCATTTCCCTGATTTTATATCTACTTTTGAGTGAGGTGGGAAGGGTGATGTGGCATTACATTTGAGTGAGGTGGGAAGGATGATGTGGCATTAGAGGATATTAATAGGGTATTAAAAGTATCAACACAAGACAGAACACGAAACAATGGATATTGAATAGAAGTGTTTGTAGAAAGCCTATTGGTCCATATTTCTTGATGCTTCTATATTGGAGCGGAGTCTTGAGGTGGGTAGAATATAGTTGTGCAATAATTGGCTGTTGATTGCTGGTGTTGACTTCTTGATGTGTAGTGCCTCGCAAACGTCAAGCCGCCTGCTATCGCTGTATCTATCGATGATTTCTGTGTTGTTTACTAGGATTTCTCTGGCGATGGTTTGGTTATGGGAAGAGATTATATGTTCCTTAATGGAGCCCTGTTGTTTATGCATCGTTAAACGCCTAGAAAGAGATGTTGTTGTCTTGCCTATATACTGGGTTTTTTGGAGCTTACAGTCCCCAAGTGGGCATTTGAAGGCATAGACGACGTTAGTCTCTTTTAAAGCGTTCTGTTTCGTGTCTGGAGAGTTTCTCATGAGTAGGCTGGCCGTTTTTCTGGTTTTATAGTAAATCGTCAGTTGTATCCTCTGATTTTTGTCTGTAGGGATAACGTTTCTATTAACAATATCTTTCAGGACCCTTTCCTCTGTTTTATGAGCTGTGGAAAAGAAGTTCCTGTAAAATAGTCTAATAGGGGGTATAGGTGTTGTGTTAGTTGTCTCTTCGGAAGTTGCATGGCAACTAACACAACACCTATACCCCCTATTAGACTATTTTACAGGAACTTCTTTTCCACAGCTCATAAAACAGAGGAAAGGGTCCTGAAAGATATTGTTAATAGAAACGTTATCCCTACAGACAAAAATCAGAGGATACAACTGACGATTTACTATAAAACCAGAAAAACGGCCAGCCTACTCATGAGAAACTCTCCAGACACGAAACAGAACGCTTTAAAAGAGACTAACGTCGTCTATGCCTTCAAATGCCCACTTGGGGACTGTAAGCTCCAAAAAACCCAGTATATAGGCAAGACAACAACATCTCTTTCTAGGCGTTTAACGATGCATAAACAACAGGGCTCCATTAAGGAACATATAATCTCTTCCCATAACCAAACCATCGCCAGAGAAATCCTAGTAAACAACACAGAAATCATCGATAGATACAGCGATAGCAGGCGGCTTGACGTTTGCGAGGCACTACACATCAAGAAGTCAACACCAGCAATCAACAGCCAATTATTGCACAACTATATTCTACCCACCTCAAGACTCCGCTCCAATATAGAAGCATCAAGAAATATGGACCAATAGGCTTTCTACAAACACTTCTATTCAATATCCATTGTTTCGTGTTCTGTCTTGTGTTGATACTTTTAATACCCTATTAATATCCTCTAATGCCACATCATCCTTCCCACCTCACTCAAATGTAATGCCACATCACCCTTCCCACCTCACTCAAAAGTAGATATAAAATCAGGGAAATGCAAGTTCTAATCAGTTGTGTATTTGTGAAGTCTTTGAAAATGTAATAAGTTTTACGAAACGCGCCCGTGTCGCGTCAGACTAGAAATAAAAATGAATTTTGGAGAAGTGATTTTTGATTTACCTCCAACAGTGAAGCATAATGTACGAAAGATTGAGAAAATTCGTGTTAGAATTATTAATCTTACTTTTTCGGTCATATTTAATAAAATATGTCTACAGGAAAGACTGCTACCAAAATATACTAATATATATATTTATATATAATATTTATATATAATATTTATATATAATATTTATATATAATATTTATATATAATATATTATATTTATATATTATATTTATATATTATATTTATATTATATATTATATTTATATATTATATTTATATATTATATTTATATATTATATTATATTTATATATTATATTATATTTATATATATTATATTATATTTATATATTATATTATATTTATAGAATAGAATATAGTTGTGTTTTATATAACACAACTATATTCTACCCACCTCAAGACTCCGCTCCAATATAGAAGCATCAAGAAATATGGACCAATAGGCTTTCTACAATCACTTCCATTTCAATACCCATTGTTTCGTGTTCTGTCTTGTGTTGATGAAATTAATACTTTATTAATGCCACCTCTTGTTCTGTCTTGTGTTGATGAAATTAATACCCTATTAATGCCACCTCACCCCATCCACCTCACTCAAATGTAGATATAAAAAAAATCGGAGATGTGTAAGTTCTATTCAGTTGTGTATTTGTAAACTAAAGTCTTTGAAAATGTAATAAATTTTACGAAATGCGCTCGTGTCGCGTCAGACTAGAAATAAAAATGAATTTTGGAGAATTGATTTTTGAATTACCTCCAACAGTGAAAAGAAATGTACGAAAGATTGAGAAAATTCATGTTAGAATTATAAATCTTACTTTTTCGGTCATATTTATTAATATATGTCTACAGGAAAGACTGCTACCAAAATATACTAATATTAAAATATATATATATATATATGTCGTACCTAGTAGCCAGAACTCACTTCTCAGCCTACTATTCAAGGCCCGATTTGCCTAATAAGCCAAGTTTTCCTGAATTAATATGTTTACTATAATTTTTTTCTTATGAAATGATAAAGCAACCCTTTTCTCTATGTATGAGGTCAATTTTTTTTTTATTGGAGTTAAAATTAACGTAGATATATGACCGAACCTAACCAACCCTACCTAACCTAACCTAACCTATATTTATTGGTAAGGTTAGGTTTGGTAGCCAAAAAAAGCTAGGTTAGGTT